AGGTAACATAACATGGTTAAGTAAATCCAACATTTCATTTTTTACAGTGTTTAGGTTTGTATATTGCAATGCACTCAGTGCATGCCAGGTCATGTTTGTAAATGAGAAGTGGTTCTCACACAGTTTACCTGGATAAATAAATGTTAAATAAATAAAAAGAACTCCATGTGTAACACATTATGTACAGTTTTTTTCTTTGGCTTATTTTATTTTATTTATTTATGTTTTGCTGACAACTGTGACCTTAGTATCTATCTTTTATTCCTCATGCAGTACTCATTTGGAATAGAAAAAAAATAATTGAATTCTTGATTTAACTTCATTATTCTGCACAAAATTGAACTGACTCGAAGACATTTGGAGCATTTTTAGGTCCTGTTTTATGTTCAAAAAAGGGGCAATGTATTAAAAAAATCTTTAAACAAATAAAGCAAAGCAAGCCGGTGTTGTACGAAATTCAGTTCCCCTGTGAAAATCTGTTCCCCCTGTGTTGGGAGCACCTCCCTCATATTAACCATTTAGGCTTGGTCTGATGTAAAGGCTGGACCAGTGATTCTCTCTAAGGTTAACCAGTAGGGGGAACTGAATTTCGCACATCACCGGTCTTACTTTTTTCTTTTTTTTCCGCCAACATGCCTCTGAACCTCGTCTGCAGACCCTCCCTGTGTTTATGCTGGTTTTAAACTGAAGCGATGTTTCAGGCTGGAACTGCTCCGGTGGTTTAGAGTTGCAGAGCTCACAGAGAACTTTACTTCTTTCCAGCCCACCGTWGGGAAAAGTTTTAAAATAAAAAATGCCCTGAAGAATCCAGTGACTTCTGCCATGTTTCTGCCCCGGCTGCAGCTTGCTCGGGTTCATGAGAGYGGCTGTGAGTTGCCAAGAAACAGCTCGACAACAAAGACTCTCATTGGATGAGATGCGGGACGAAGGCCATTTAAACCAGTAGAGATCAAGATCCCGCCTCCCCGCCATGACCGCTGGGTTTGTGTGTCTCTGTGTGTGTGTGTTAGCTGCCCAGTGAACAGAGATCTGATGGAGAAATGTTAATAAATAAATAACTGCGTTGAAAAAATTATCGCCGTTAAGCGTCGGCAGTGTTAACGTGATAATAACGCGTCGTGCCCAGCACTACTTTTATAGGGTTCTGTATGTTTTATTCATGATTAAATTCAGCAAAATAAACTATTTGAAAGGTAACAGATCTTTGTAATACTTGATTTATTTACATGATGACTTTGCTGCTGTTGGTCTGCAGTAACTGTGGTCCCCGGAGCAATTCAATTGAATAGCCCTAACTTATGGCATCCAGATAAAAGAGAGCTAAAAATTAGGGGTGTAAGAAAATATCGGTACACTGAAATATCACGATATTTCATTTCCCGATACTGTATCGATATTCTAAAGCCCTGCATCTATTTTTTTTATTAAGGTTTAAAATGTCAACTTTCCTGCCAGCCGTTCATTTTTATGTTGTAGTTCAGCCTCTGACCACTAGTTGGCAGCAGTGAGCCAGACATTTGGCTCCTCTACCTCTTGAGGTAGAGGCCATTGTTAAGTGTTGGGTGACCATATTGTAAATTAATATTAAAAACTAAAAGCTGCAAAAAATATATTTTCAAACTATTTATTGGCAAATTTAGTCTAATAATTGAAAACATGGATGAAATATGAAACAAATAAAATAAAATACATACAAAGCAGAACCCAGCTAAATGTATCAAAATAAAAAAAAATAAAAATAGTCTATGTAATAGAAATTTCTGAGACAATGAATTTTGGTTTTTCATTTTTTTCCCCAGTAAGAGGTTTTTATTTAATAGAATTTTTGCCTGATCTGCTTATAGTATGCTTATAGCCTTGCTTATAGTATCGCAATATATCGGGATATATCGTATCGTGACCCCTCTGTCATGATATGTATCGTATTGCCAAATTCTTGCCAATACACAGCCCTACGAGAAATGCTGAGAATATTTGGATCTCATGATCTGAACCAGCATTTAGACCCCAACATATGCACCAGCATACAGTTGTGTTTGGTTATTTTGTGTTTGTGGGCATCTCTCAGTGTGATGAGTGGGAGATGGACACTTTTGGGTCTGTGGACCAGAGCTCGCTGCGACAGAACGTTTTGTCAGCTGAATCCTTGCCAGCAGTACGTTTAGACCAGAGCTATTTTTAAATCAGAAACAAGGGAAGGCCAGAGATGACAACATTGTGTTCTTCCCCCTGAAGGGAATTCTGCAGTGGTACAAGCCCACTGGGACCAAGCAAAACAGACCGAGTATAGCTATCAGCAGTAAACACGGGGTAAATGTGAAGGCACAGTGTTAATTATGTACGTGTGTGAATGTGTGTGTTTACAATGTTGCCTGCATGTGGTAATAGGTGCTTATCAGGCACAGAGACATGTTTGTATCCTAAACAGAATTAAAAAGACATTAGTTACTTTTTCCTCAGATAAAATATTTCTAAAAGAAAACTAGTTTAAGATTGTAAACATGAAGATTCTGATCAGAGAGTTAAACCGGGACAGAGAACATTTATCTTGTCTTTATTGTGAACAACTTCCAACACTAAATAGATACTTAGCTTCTTTTCACAATGAGGCTAAAATGCTTGTGACACATGTACAGGGTGGATCATTTATATGGATACACCTAAATAAAATGGTAATGGTTGGTGTTGGTCAGTGTGTGAAGAGTAGAAGAAGAGGGTTGCATTGACAATCCAACACAAAGGACAGCACTTCGAACACGTTTTATAAGTGATCAGAAACTTGTAAATAACTCACGAAAGAATAAAGTTACGTTAAAACCAAGCATACCATTGTTTTTCTTGTGAAGTTCTCAATAAGTTTGATGTATCAAATGACCCACTTCCCATTGAAAAAACTAWAGTTGGATCCAAAATGGCCGACTTCAAAATGGTCACCACCCATCTTGAAAAGTTTCCTCCCACCCAAATACTGATGTGCCACAAACAGGAAGTTAATATCACCAAACATTCCCATTTTATTTAGGTGTATTCATWTAAAWGGCCCACCATATAGAATAAAAGAATGTTTTCAGAACAGTACACGCAGTAATGTGAGGTTTTGATTTGTAGAAAGTTATATGAAATGAAACAACACAGAATRATTTGTGTTAAGAGTTTGAAGTCTTACCCGAGATAAAAAAGGAAGACACAYGAGTATGATAGTGCTCCCTGCACTTTCACTGAACTCATCACCACTCGGATAAGCTGTTAAAAAACAAGATAAATTCATTTTTGAGAACTAAAACCCAAAGGGTGTTTGTTTTCAGAGTGCTGCTAAGACTCTGTTTTTTCTCTTTCTGCATTTACTTCCTGAAGTGCGACAGTTTCTCACCAGAACAGCCAGAGGCAGAGGGATGAAGCCCATCCTCCGGGCCACGGAGTCACTGTAGTCCGTGTAGGCCTGCGCAGCGACAGACACACAACTGAATCCATTAGCTCCATATGAGTTAGGTCTTATGGGCTCAACACACGGGGAGAGACAAATGACAGCGATTAATGTAGACACTTTGATAAATGCTCTGCYCRATCCCGGCAGTGCGTGGGTCAGGTTTTTATGTGATTTCTTTCACTCCTTTTCATGCTTAGCCTTSGCTTAGCATTTAGAAATGTCTTTTAAGGTTTTACCTAGTTTGTTTTCTACTTTGGTTTGAAAAATTGTGATGTGCGCTATGTCTACGGAGCCACGCACCTTTTTTATGGCATAATGGAAGTCAATGGAGCACTTGCTTCCTAATTTTCAGTCTTTAAAGACCTCTAAATATTAATGGGGGTCYGATTTTAAAAACTAAATAGTTTTGGAATCTGTACATAGAGCCTTACGAGTACAAAAAGGAAAAACAACTCTCAAAAGTTTATCAAAGTCCCTAATTAATGACYGTCATCACAACCAGGGTGAAACCCGACACACGGAACGCAAWAGCGATGGCGGTGTTGCGAATTGCATTCCAGCGTGACTTGTCTTCAAAAAATTTCATTGGTTCTTCTACTGCTTTTTGTAAGGTTTATTGGTGGTTAGCAAAAAAATAAATAAAAACCAAAACAAAAAGAAAACAGATTGGTGTGCATTACGGACGTGTAAACTAAACAAACCTTGCGATGCTAATGATATTGAAAAACAAACAAATCAAACAAAGATACAATTTTATGAGGAAAAACTTCACCCTGGTGCCAACAAATTCCCATASGGCTCCTTTTTTAAGTGCATCTTAGTCGCTTCATGAAGGGCCATATAAAATTGGAAAGTTTGGCARAGCTTAAATAATGTTGAAAGTGGTAGCTAACTGTAGCGTAGCATACTCTCCACTCATTGGTCAGTCAATGAAACCCTCGCTGRTTGGYTGAGCGCTGTGCRACAGCGACAACAGTTGAACATTTTTCAACTTTTATGTGTCGCGTCGCGACCCCGCGTGTGCACGTTTACGAACAAGTTTCGCCGGTCGCTTGGCTGGAGGAGAGCGAACGATTGTYGCCTCATCCCACCAGTTCCACAGGAAATGAATAGAGATGGGATAAATGGCTCTTTGAAGGGATCCGGGTCTGTTTCATAGAGCTGTTCAAAGGATCCATTCAATTTTGAATGAGTTACRTCATCCCGTMGGTGAATACGTCATCACGTGGCCGTACGTGATGATGTCATCCTGTTACGTGGCTGGAAGCATGTGATTTATCAAGCGGAAACCCCTCCCCCTTTCCCCACGGGCTTCTGTACTCCACCGATYTGCCTGTTTTCTGTGAAAAAGCAAAGCGGGAGYGATTTAAGGATGAAAAAAAAAATCAAGATTATAAGAGGAATAAAAAAYAAAACTACAAACAGCTCGTTACTGTTTGCGACTCGGCTCCTATCGTTCGTTGTAAAGACATGTTCAAAAGAATTAGATCGTTCGTGAACGTCACATCTCCAGAAATGAATTTAGAGAGAGCTGCGTCCCCTCCTGTGTGTCTAGCCCATCAGACTGAAGCCAGTATGAGTATGCAGTATGTGAATATC